GGGGGGGGGGGGGGGGGGGGGGGGGGGGCGCAAATGTAAATATATTTCGCAAATTTTTTGAACGTTTAGTAGAGACGAGAACGTGAACGAAGTGACAACGCGAGTGACACAAAATTTTGAAGAGGAAAACCGTTAATCAAATCTAAATATCGATGCCTAAAACTTTTAAATAAATTTTTACGTACGTTGTACTTAAAACTTAACGTGATCTTTTAAGTGAATTACTTTACATACATACATACATACATACATAAATAAGTACATAAGTGACAACAAAAATAGAGATATATGTTAACACTGTACTGAATAATTCAACATACATTCTAAATACATTCATTTGTAATTTAGATTCCATGAGTGCCAAAAAGTGTTCTGCATATGGTCAGTGAAGTGTACGCACACATATACATACACACATATGTATGTAGCTGCACTGCAGGAAAGAATTCTCAATTGATAAAAAAATAACCAATAATAACTACAAGAGGTAGCTTTGTTTGAGGGATTTCTATTAAATATATAACTTGTAGTTAGCTACATAAATCTAACTTTAAATTCGTTGAAAAGTATTCCAGGAGTAAGGCAGATTCCTGCACGACTTTACAACTAACCTAAATTTAATTTTGTCATAGCTAACCTAAAAGTTAGTTATTTATCGAAATCCCGTAAACAAGCTAACTATAAGTTGGTTATTTGAATCAACTGATAATTTTTTTCTGCAGGGTATATCTGACGGAGCTCGAATATGGGACCACCTACAGCAGAATATGTAAACAAATATACATACATATAATGTAATAAAGTAAAGTAAATAAATAATAACGTAAAAAACAAAAAAAAAACGGATATTTTATGTCCAAAAGTAGTTACAAGCTCGTTGATATCTAATGCAGAGGTAACCACCCTTGACCATCGCCATAGAAATATAGTTAGCGTTCCTCAAAGAAACTAGTATACAGATAATTGTGACCTTTAGTTCCTTCCTAATCAACTTCAAGTTGACTTATAGTAAGAAAGATTTCCCTCAGGTTACGGTTTATCACTGTTGACCGAGGGCCGCAGCAAAAAGATTTCGTTAAAATATTTTTCGTTGAATGCAATGTCTATTAGACCGGGTCAGTCGGCAAGCGAATTGTAAAAGGTTTGTACCTACCTCCTCGTCTCTAATTTGAAATCTTACTTTAACATATCTATTCTGCGCTGATAACAAAAATCTTGAATCCATTAAATAAATGTCCGTCAGAATATAACTGCCCAATCTGGAGTTTTTTGTATTTATGACCCCGTATTTTAAGGGTTATAGATTTCTTGAACATCATAATAATAATTATAACAGGTCGTGTAGAAACTAAGAAACTTGGTTATACATACTGGTGAAGGAGTTAGGTTAGGTTGAAACGGCTACCTGTAGTAATGTTGGAAAGTGGCACACTTAGGCACTTAGGCGTATAAGTAGAAGTACAACCAGTTGGTTAGATTAATAAAGCGCGCCAATTTATGAATTCCTTCTTCGCATAGTTCTGCCAGAGAAGCGAAGTTGTGGTGGTTAAATGTGCGTCTTCTCGCCCACGAAAGGGCAGGCCAGTGACAGAGGTAGTGTTCTACACTGTCAATTTCTTCCTCATCGCTGGATGCGCATTCCGCTGGCGTGCCTTCCCATCAAGCAGTGTCCCGTTATAATACCGGTTAGTTGCTTTACTATAGAATAAGTGTGGATTCTGCCGACCATCTTTTATTTGCCTTCTCGACGGAATATGATTTAATCCATATTTTGTAGGCAAATAGCGGTATGCCTACATCGTGAATTGTCGTCAGACAGGGTGGTTGTGCAAGGGAATGAGAAATGTTTCCATTCGTAGTATCTCACGGACCTAGTCTTATGGATATATTAACGTTTGAAAATAAAAACCGGATACGAATTTTTGGTAGATTAAAAAACTAGACACAATTTTTTGTAATTTGAAAACCGGGACAATATTTTTGGGCGTTTAAAAAGCTGGATATAAATTTTTGTTAATTTGAAGTAATTTTAAAGCTTGTTTTGGCAATCTGAAAACTGCATGAACATTATTGTTTACTTAAAAACTGGGCAAAATTTTTGTTTATTTAAAACTGGCCAAACGTTTTGTTGGCTTAAGAACAGGATGTAAATTTTTGCTATTTAAAATCTGGTTGTTTGTTGGTTAAAAACTCTGCACAAATTATTGGTCATTCATAAGCCGAACTTAACCACAGGAGTGGTTAGAGGTGCGTACTATCACTCTGTAGGACCTCGGTGCGAATCATAAAATCTTTTTGCTGTTCCGAGGCGGTATAAAAGGCTGACTTCCAAAACGTACCAATACAATGTTTGGATACTGTTCTACTGCGGTATTCAAACTGTTGCCAAACATTGCGAAGATTTCGTATTTCCTTTAATTACTGTTATATGGGATGTGAGCGTGGATATTGTCCGATTTTAAAACTTTTGAGCCATTTGGCATGTTTTGTCAATATTCTTATTTTTATAATATTCTTATTTTTCGCCTAAAAATGATTAAAAATATCAATTTTGAGTGAATAAGCTTCATTAGTTACTAAAATATCGCAGTTTTCGTATTTCTGAAAACTACCGTTATTTGGGTGGTAGGCGTGTTTATTGCCTGATTTAGCTCATTTTCAATACCATCCGTCCTACGCTGAAAAGAAGTATGTATACAGTTTCCTTAAGAAATCTCAATTTTTACTCGAGTCATCGTGTGCACAGACGGACAGATGGACGGACGGACGGGCAGACAGTTACCGCTTAATCGATTTCTTTTTTGTTTCTGATCATTTATGTTATAATACCCTTGCGCACAAGTACGCTCGGGTATAAAAATCACTTTTCACTTAAATTGCATACAAAATGTATGTCCTGTTTTTATATGACTAAAAATTGATGTCCCGTTATTATATGTCAAAAAATGTATGTCCAGTATTTGCTCAAAAGCATAAACAGTAGACATATTTATATGTATGTATCCGTTTGTTGTTTTCCAAGTACNTTATTATATGTCAAAAAATGTATGTCCAGTATTTGCTCAAAAGCATAAACTGTAGACATATTTATATGTATGTATCCGTTTGTTGTTTTCCAAGTACACACCCCTATTGCGGTTGTCGACTGGGAGTAGATAAACGACTATTAAGCGATTATCGATTATCGATGCTATTGTGAGTGTCGCTTAGTCGCTCAATTAGCGACTGTGAATACTTTTTAATCGCTCATCCTTCTATTGCTGTTTTTTAGTCGTTGGAGTTTGCGTTTATAAAATTTACATAAGAAAGTGGTACTATAATGGATAAAAAGTAAGTCAATTGAATTGGAAGTTGTAAAAAATTGTGAAATATGCATATGTATGTACATATGTGTCTGAATTACAGATAAAAAATTGTAAGCAACAAAAGGCAACTTGCGCGGTTGGTCGAGCTGATGCAGAAGAGTGAGGACATAGGCAAAGGAATTTCCGTAAAGAGCAGGGGAGGAAGCTCCGCTTCTTTTGTGAAAGATATACAATATTTCTTGTGCATATAATTCCGGCTACGCCATCCACAGTGTTTTTGCGCAGAACCAACATCAAAGTTTACAAAAAACTGCATAATTTATTAATTAACTAATGCTCGGAAACTTGAAATCTTTATGTTAAATTAAAGTTTAATTCTTTCACTACACTTGTATGTTAAAGTTTTAAAACTCGGGTCACGCGTTTGGACACAAATACTCAACATCATTGTACAAATAACTAAACGGTACCGTATTTCTTAAACTTCCATAAAATTTATTAATGAGGAAAACAGCTTTTCCTGCAAATCCTGTAAAACCTAAAAACCTTGAAGCATCGGGAACGCAACTTCTATTCATAAAATTCACATATGTACATACACTTCATCTTCCAACTCCATGGGAACCGACGAATCTCGCAATTCCCTCGCTTTAGCCCACTCTACTAATCTATTAGCTTCCACATCATCTTCGTCATCACTAAACCATATTTCAACTGTGTCCATTTTTTAAATTTTATAATAAAAGCAATTATTTTAAAAATGATCTAAATGAAACATTAAAGAAACAAATGTAAACAAACAAACAGCTGTTTACAATTCCGTCACCATTCACAATAGTACAAATTTTTATCGATCAAGTTACACAATAGCAAAATAAAAGATGATCGACTCGATCGACAAATTTCTATTCTACTACCAGTCGACACTCGCAATAGGGGCCTAAGTTTAAATTAACTGGCAGTGCATTCCAACATCCAGCATACGGAGCCCAAATATTATCCCACTCGAAAAACGCCGAAGCTGACGCCAACATTACCACAATCATAGCACGAACATTAACTCCACAAATCATATATTTCCAATAACAACAATAATAAGAGACATAATCGCGCCGATCGATCGATTAGCCATCAGCCGGCAAGCCGTATTTATGCATCTACACACATACATACGTACATATTCTATTTATACTCATGTGTATGTATAGATGCGCTTACTGTTCACCTCTAAGCCGCTTTGCCGTTGAGTCGCTGATCCACTGATACGGTGATCCGCAGTTCCGCCGAGACGCCAAGTTGCTGCGTTGTTGTGCCGCAAAAATTCTATAAAACTAACAAACTCTTCGCGATCGAGTGTGATTCTTTTCTACCTTCGTGTGCGACAGTGTTGACTGCGGCTGATTGATCGTCATCGTCGATCCATCGATCGATTGTTCATTCAAGTGTTCAGTTTAATTCGGTGTATCCAGCATTTGGCTCTTGACATGACTTTTTGTTTAACCTAAGCACTTCGCTTAGTGCACATTTTTGCGGAGGATCAAACGTACTTACTACATACAAACATACAAGAAATACTACCTGTTGAGTCCCATTATCCTCGTCAACTTATCTGGTCGTGATTTCTTTTGACATTTGCCGCCATACATCAAACACCATTATTATTGACTGGTTTCGACGAAATAAGCTTGCAACATTGTATGCCAAGGCGCCGCCAACAAACCCGCATACAAACTTACAGACAGTAAAATCAAGTACATAGACGCAGCTTCCATATACAACGGCGAAGGCTCCAAGTCGGTTTCTAATACTTAGCGTTTGCCTAACGAGGATACTGTTACCACGGTCAACTGAACGCTCTCCCAGGCATCCATTCGGCCCAGTGTCAAATCACGCGGGTGCTTTGTGTGTGTACTTTTGTGAATTATATGTACATAAGTGTTTCAATTGATCGCCATCGATCGCGCGAACATTGGTTGCCAATCGCGCACGTTACGGTCCATCGATCGATTCAGTTTGCTTTCATCCTCGGCATTGTGCGTTTATTAGAGCCGCAAAGAGGCGCTTGAATCTTCCGTTCGTATCGCAACGTACACACAAATATATATGTATGTACATACATATCATAGTTTGTAGCGAAGTTTTATTTAATCGGAGCAAATAATTTATTGTACCAAAGTGCACTGAAACTAAAACATAATAATCGTTTATCTCCAAAACGTGTCTTCGTAATTGTATTTGAAAAACACAACGTTAAACGAGGCGCCAAGTCAATAACCTATATAACCAGTGGGTGTAAGAAAAGTGAGGATTTATATTTTGTGTCTCGACATCGCATCAAGTGATTAGTTTTACTGTTAAAAAAATTTGAATAATTAGCGACACTCTTCAACAAAATAAAGAAGGTGAACATTTTATTGTATGTACTAAACATCGCGTCGTTCCCAGTTTGATCTGATTGCTAATAAAACAAACTGAATCATACATTGAACTACTTATTGGATTAATTTAGTTGCTGTTGTTCCAGTATAATCAAATCAAACAATATGAAGCTCTACGCAGTTCTTCTCGCATGTACGTAAAAATATGTACCTACTAAATATTTACATAACAAAAAAAATTTTTTAAAACTATGAAAAATTTACACATAGGTCATGTCGCATTTGAAATGCGAGTTAAATTGCAGGGGCCGAAAACAGCCGTTAAATATAACGATTTGTATTTTTAGATCGTTATAATATCGTAAATTTTATTTTGCCCATCATTCTTTGCTACTATAATGGCATTTATGACTGATTGTAATCTTTTATGATCAAAAATTAAATCTGAAAATAACGAATATGATCGAAGCAATAAAAATCAAAATTTTTAAGAAAAAATAAAAATCCAAAAATTACGATTATTCTTGAACGAAAACACAAAACTTACGATTGAATTTGATCAGAAAAATAGAAATCACTGATCTCTGTTAAAATGTGAGAGCCTAATATCTTTAGTCCTCAGCACTGATAGATACGTAATCAAGACTAGCCAGCGAATATTTCTTGTTTGGCAAATGACAGTTGAGAATAATAAAAGTTTTTCAATGAAGAAGTAAGCAGCTGTCATTGTTTTGAAAATAACCAGGAATTATAAAACATTGGGCCAGTGTAATAGACTGGGTCGCGAAAAGAAGTTTATAACGACTACTCCAGATTTGAAACCTTCCATGGATAGGACATAAAATATTTAAAATCATGCATGTCCTTATAGTTAATATCATAGCTGTTGTAACTTTTGACACAATTTTAAGGAGTTAGAAAGATATTTTAAGTTCTAAATAGTTTGGCTCAAACAGTGCCATGTTTTTGTCGGTTCAAATGGCAACTATTTTTTCAATTTGCCACAAGGGAGTTCATTCTTTGGTTACCATCGAGTGTTTTAGGTACTTTTTATAAACCAAACGTAGCTTGTTTTTATTGTTAAATGGGAAAGAAATAAATAATACAGTCTTCACAGCAAGCTTGGTTCTTGGTAACTCGGTGTAAGGTAATTTCTCCCCATGGATTTCGTTTGTGTAAAATTTTTTTATTATCAGTTTACCAATTACTGAATTATCGTATTGGCAAGCTGGTAATTGGTAAAGTGCAATCAGCAGTTCGATATTTTCAATTTTAAATTAAAACAGGTAACCTTTGTGTTATTTAGCTTTATTTGCATTGTTGTAAACTATATCAAGCTGGTTGCTTTTGGATATAATTCATAGACGTATACTTGAATATAAATGGCAAGTAACGAAAAGTGTGTAACTCTACTTTTGACAATTTTCAAAATTTTCGGTTTATCGCTTATAGTTTTTGAAGCTTTCAGAATAAACCAACTTCTAAACATAAAATATTCTGCCATCTTAAGCGTAATTTTTATTCCAAAAACATCTTAATTGAAGGCATATTTGGAAAATACGTCTCAACGATCTAAATCTTTTTGTAACTACTAGTCCTTATAACGTTATATATACCTGTAAAATGCTTAAAATAATTTTTCTAAAAGTGTCTAAAAACCCTGATTTACTACTTTTAATGATGATCCTTCTTGTAGTGAGAATATTTCGAGCTTGGTATCAAATAAACTTTTTTTCGACAAAGGTTCTGATAGTTGCTTTGCTGCGTTGTTTACTTAATTGGAGCCTTCTAAATTCAATGGCGTCCCCAGTTTTTCACGATTGGCTCCACTTTTCGAGATAGTGGTACCTGAAACTTTGCTTAAATTTTAACTATTTTATAAAAAAAAAAAACTCCCTCAGTTTTAAAGATATTTTACTAAACTTTTGCTTACGATTGTATTTGAATATTACCTTCACTATCTCTTAAAATCATCGAAATCGGTTCACTATAGCATATACTTCCCATACAACTAATTGTTCAGAGACGTTGTTTAGCGTTATAACCCCTCCAATTAAGCAGATAGAACTTTAGTATAGGTTCACTTTAACATACTATAGAACGCATACAATTTATTATTATTGAATTAAAGTAGTACCAGCTTTTTTTTCACAGATATTCCATCAAAAGTTATCCTAAAAAGTTGTTACTAACTTTAGAGTCGACTTAATTTTGACTGGAAATATAAGTTCACGTGCCAATAACTTTATTCGCTTCTGAATTGCGTTTGTGAATTAACCCGTTTACAGGACACATTTATTAAACTGTGGGAACTTGGCGTTAGAGTATTGAATTAGGAATTTGGAAAGGCACAATGTGCAAAAATTTAGTTTTTGACCACCGTCACTCCTCATGTTGATTTACTTCCGAAAGTTATTAACCGAACATCGTCCCAAATTCGTAAATCGTAAATCGTAAATTGTTTATTGACAAAATATTTATGCCAGTTTGTAGGTTGAACAAATTAGACGACGAGCTAAGCCACTAAATAATTATTTATTTCGAGATTATTTGTTTCATTCATCGTCATACATACATATGTACGTGGACGAGTAGTATATTAAGAGTTTTGTAGCTCACTTAATTTCAGTACAATAAAGTACAAGTTCTAAGTAACTATAAACTACCTTTGATTTTTGAGAATTTTTTTTCCTGATGATGATTTTCTCCAAATAACGTGTATGGGAAAAAATACCGAAGAGCGTCAGTAAAAAATTCTTAAAAATCAACGATAGATTATAGCCACTTAAAACTTGCACTTTATTATACTGAAATTGAGCGAGTTACAAAACTGCATATTCAAAAAATTCTTTTGTTCAAAAGTCGAAAATTTTGGTGAACATTTTCGAATTATCCTAAATTTTTTAAAAATTTTGAATCATTAATTTATATGCCATTTGATGCAGAATGAACTATATTTCTATTAAAAATTAACGAAAAAATATTTATTACGGAAAACATTGCAAATATTTAAAAAAAAACTAAAAACTGTACGAAACCCTATTTTGATGAGTGTATGTACATACGTGGAGGAGTAGTNCCTAAATTTTTTAAAAATTTTGAATCATTAATTTATATGCCATTTGATGCAGAATGAACTATATTTCTATTAAAAATTAACGAAAAAATATTTATTACGGAAAACATTGCAAATATTAAAAAAAAAACTAAAAACTGTACGAAACCCTATTTTGATGAGTGTATGTACATACGTGGAGGAGTAGTATACTAAGAGCGACATAAAATAGCGAATTATAACCACGAATTTATGGTGACGCGACATTCACAAAGAGTTCAATAAATTATTTATAACACGTGCAATCGTTGTATGGACATACATACTGCAAGACGGTAATGTTTTTGAAGTGAGCACTATGCTTTCAAATATCCGCACGTGCGCTTGAACTAGAAATTATGTAGCCGCGAATAGGAATGCATTTTATGCCTGTATTACTAAGTCGAATTATATTGGCCATATGCATATGAATACCCACTAATTTCTACATTCAATAAACTAATGCAAATATTTGCTCATTCCTCAAACCTATATGCGGTAAGCGAAATCTATTATTTTGCGTATTCAATATTTTACATATAAGGGTGTCGTAAGTGTCGTATTGTTATATGTCGTAAACTTTAAAAATTAAATAAATGTTTAGAGAACTTAAAACGACAACCAGCAATTTTTTAACACTGCAAAAATTTATAACATGGTACATACTTTGCAAACCCCCTTAATATACTTGTATTTTTTAGGTCTCTTTAAGGTCTACGACATACAACACTACAATACTTACGACACCGTTGTGAATACCCCAACAGTGTATTGTGTTAAAAACATACATATATATATGCATACTTTATTACCAAGTCTTTGTTAAGTACGCACCGAGAAATAATGAGTGTATTCATTTAAACGGGTAAGCTACATTGTTTTACATTAACGCACCTCATTAAGCAAAATATCAAAATCAAATAAAAATTTAAAGCTTACTAAATATTACACCCGCATGCCGTTTAAACGCCAAATTTAATTTAACTTTTTAAATAGGTGATAACCCTCTTCAAACAGGTAGCAAGGCCCTTCAAAATGTTTTCAAACCATAAGCTCGGTTATGCAAGACTTAGACTTGACTTGACTTACCTAGAAACTTAGAAACTCTGCGTCTCACCTATTACTTTTTCACTTTGTTTGATTCTCAGCACTTGCATTTTCGCACGTAAAATTGTAAACGTTTAATTTGTTTGGTTTGAAAATAGATAAAAAAAAAATTACAATTAAAATAAACGAAAAATTTTAGTTTGTGATAGGCTTGTCTGATCTGTTCTTTTAGTGTAAGTAAAACGAAGTTATTTCATTTACGGCCCAACGTTTCGCTAATCTTCTTAGCATCTTCAGAGGCGTGTTTATTTAATTATATAAAATTTGTCATTAAGTTAACTACATCTACTTTAATCCATACCAACTTCTGTGGTAGCTTTGTCTAAACTCAAAATAAAATAAATGTACGCGTTCAAATCGTGATTGTTTTTATTTTTTTCTGTCTTTATTTGAAAGTTTGTTTTTCGATTGCCAGATGAATTACATTTTTACAAAAAACATATTTGTGTGGAATATTATTTTATATTGGAGTTTTATTAAAAATATGTGAAAACATTGTACGTAAGCACTTAGAAACTCAACTCTGAAGAAAAAGAATTTACATAAAATGATGCACAATACATATAAAATAAATTTTCTTCTATTTTCTAAATTTCTTAGATCAGTATGCAACTCTCAAGAAAATAATTGTCGCATATTTATTTCTTCAAGAAAATTTACATCTACAGCAAAAAACCTTCTCAAGCAACAGAAATAAGTAATTAAAAATATTTCTTGTGATTTTTCTTCAGAACTGCAAATAGCCCTTAAAACCTTCTGAAACATCTTTCGCCTGACACCCATATTGGGATCAGCGTTGCCGCTTTGGTAATTTTTAACCAAAATTGGTTATTTTTTTCTTTCTATAACATATTTGGTAATTTGGTAATTTATAAAGAGTGGTAGGATCTATAAAACTGCTTGAAAGTGGCTATCGCTATATCTACCGTGTCCTTTCCCGAGAGGTTTTGGGTGGTCATACCTTTCCCTGTCAGTTTGTCAGCTTTGCAGTT